GTCACTCCTCCGAATCCTATTCCTAAAAAGACCAGTGAGCTAGGTAAGAATAGGAGAAAAAGGCGTCCCATAGCTCCGTCCACACAGTTTGTCCTACAGAAACCGAATATGGATGACTTTTTCGCCTCCTCATGCCAGTCAAAACCAGTGACTCTACTTTTGAAAGCAGTTTCTGTAGTACATGTGTCCATTGTCACTGTGACATTACAGCACCTAAAACGTACATGGGTTCATGTTGAGTCACTCCTTCTCGTGGTTCTGGTATATCTGACTTCGGTGTAGAGTATATGAGGCATTGGCGAAGCCACAGGCACCACTCAAAATCCATTCAGAAGTCATAACGGACAAACCGAAATGGTGCGGCACTAAACCAGTGAAAAAAGTGATCAAGGCAACCAGAACTCTAACCAACACCGACAAAACTGCTGGTTGTTGTTGATCCCCTAGTATCTGGTAACAATAGGGAACAGTGAGTGAATGTAAAGAAGGGGAATGGCAAAACCTCAACTCACAAACGGATACCACTCAAGGACAAGGGCTATAGATTAAATTCACTTATTTTATTTAATTTCCCAGTGTCGGAAGGTAGTTTACTAGAAGGTAGGTCTGCATTTGACAAAGAACAGTGGGATAAAGACTGAGTAATCCTCAGAATGTGCAGTACCCCAGCAAAAATATGTCGCCTTCTCAAAGGCCAGATTGTCTCGAAAGGTAAACCCTCCCAATGAGGGTAACTCTAGATACGGTACGACTTGCTGAAGACATCCTCCTCTCATCCCGAAAAACATCGTTAAATTGCTAACCCCTCCCCTCGATTTCGCTTCACAAACGATAAACCATGGTCAATAAGAGCGAGAGTCAGGAAACACCAGCCATCCAAGAGTAGGACACTATGGCAGTTCACAGTGTACCTGAACTCGCTGGCGACAGCTTGGTTGAAGCTCACGTGCACGATGTGCAACAGTGGAAATGGCTATCATGTAGCCTAGACCTCACCACGATGGGTCTTTGTATTTCTAGGTTGCCCAGCCCTTCACACCTCGTGTCCATCCATCAAGTCACCACTTCTGATGGCTGTGACATTCAAGAACCTGGAAGACGTAACTGAGGCGCTCCAAGCTTGGTGCAGTTCTAAGAACGACTTGTCCAGCCACATTATGTGTTGAGAAAGCCGACCTAGATCTCTGAAACAACAGCAGGGAGGCTACAATAAACGCACAAACTTACAGTTGATCTCCACCAACAACCTCAGGCACAAGACAGGAAGATAATAGCCTCGCCGACTGAACCAACTGCACAGGCAAAATCCTGCAGAGGCCAGTTCTCACAGAACCTTGTTAGAACAACTTGGTTAAAAATGCGAAAACGGCTGTTGCTGCAGAGGTGCACCAGGCGCTGAGAAAAACCACCAAGTGCCTCTACAGCTGCGAAGTAGGAATAAGGGATAAGCTGTTAGAAATCAGGAATGCGTGCTCTCAGATGGACCTGAAGATCATAAACCTAACTGAAACATGGCTATCAGCTGACATTGCAGACGACGAATTGAGCTTGCAAGGCATGACACTCTTCCGAAGTGATAGGGTACACCATACAGGAGGCGGAGTGGCTAAAAATATATAGACAGCCACTTAAACGCCGAGCAGCTCTACGACACCCAACTAACTGAGGTGATGGAATCATGTTGGTGTTGTTTCCACACAAATGGAACGAGATACTTGACTGGAGAGATTTAACGACGTACCTCATGAACTAAAGCTCAGATAGACAAACTGACTGAGGTAATACCGCAATTGCCACTCCTGGAGATTTCAATACCCCATCTCTGAACCTCGGCAATCAGGGTACAGCTCCTACTGGTTGGTTCCAAAGACGACTTAGCACAGCCTTTAGAAGCTCCGGATTGACTGGGCACGTATGCAGTGCCACTAGATGGAGTAAGGAAGGAAAATCCTCAGACCTCGATTATTTGTTAACAAATGATCAGCTCCAGGATGTTCAAGTCCGTACACCAATAGGAAGTATTGACCATGGCACAGTCTTGTTTAATATGGTCATAAACGAAACACCCACACAGAAAGAAAACGAGCCCTATCTTTGCTACAATTAGGCAAATTATACGCGCATGGGAGAGATCCTCCTACATGCCCCATGGTCACGGAAGTAGTGGAGGCTGACAGTAGATGATCACTGGCAAACAGAGAGAGACATCATCCTGAAAGCTGTCGTAGACAATGTACCTCAGTAACACCACACTCCCGGCAGTATAAAAATATGGGTTAGGTGCTGCGCTGAAAGCTTGCTACTGGCTAAGAGGAGGGCCTGGCACAAGTAGGAGGTCTCCTTGAAGGATTCTGATCATAGTTCTTACTTGGCATTGAGAAACAGATGCAATACCAAAGTTCGAGTGACAGGAGACGCTTTCAGATCAAACTAGCTTCCAAAATACAGGCAAACCCGAAGCATCTGTTTAGGTTCTTGACTAAAAGAAAACCTACAAATCAGGGTTTGTGTTCTCTCAAAGGACCAAGTGTGGAAGACCTCACCAACCTAGAGATGGATGAGATCTTCAACACAAACTTTACCGATCAGTTAAACCAGGTATCTACATGTTCAGAATACCACGCAAACCAAGTACCATCTGACAACTTAGGGAATATTCGTATCACTCTTGACTTAGTACTACGGAAGCTAAAATACTTATGCCCAGGTAAGTCACCAGGTTGTGACAAAATTCGCCCCACAGTCTTGAAAAAATGTGCAGAAGTCCTCTGTTCACCGATGGTCACCTGTTCAGACATTCTCTTGAGTCACACCAACTCCAAGCTGAATGGAAACAAGCTACTCTCTCTCCAATCTTCTAAGGAGGAGTTAGCTCAACGGTATTGATCTACGCAGACAATGCGAAGATCTGGAGGTTGATTAGAAGCGAAGAGGATTCAGCTGGGCTTCAAAAAGACCTTAAATCTATTGAGAAATGGGCAGTGAGAAACGGTCTAAAACTAAACCAGACGAAGTGTCGCGTCATGTATATTCTGCCCCACATGACGCAAACGATTTACACCCTCAATGGGAGTCCACTCCCTAATGTCTCCTCAGAGTGCGGTCTCGGTTTAATTACCACAGCAAACCTGCACACCAGCCCGAACTATATAGGGGATGCAGCCAAGGCAAATGCGACTCTTTAATTTATGTGAAGACAACTTAGTGCTCTCACCCCACAAATTATTCTTAACGTTACTTAAGACATATGCGCACCCACATCTGAGGTTCGCATTGTCATTGCACCACCTCTGCTTAAGAGACATAAATCTTTCGGATCGAGTGCAGTGAAGAGCAACGAAATGAGTAATAGTGCTGAAGAACATATCTTATGAAGAAAGACCCCAGCACCTGCGATTAATCCTATTGAGTTACAGCAGGATCAGAGGTGATCTGATTATGGCGTACAATATATTAAGCACGCCATCCATCCCAACGTGAGCATCTTCCGAAACATCACCACCACTACCCTTGAGAAAATCCTCGAAAAATTGCTTATAAAAGGAGCAAATACTCGGGTTCGTGCATATCTTTTAATATTGAGAGTCGACAAAACTTAGAATGCCCTTTTAGCCGAGGTGACCACAGGCCCCTCAGTGGACAGCTATATGGAGAGTCTCGACGATCACGTACTCACAAATGGAAAATCATCTCCCTCTCGGACAAGCTGTGTCTTATATTATCATTGCCATTTCCTCAGATCACTAACTTATCTATCTCTCCTATTATCGCTGTTTCCTCTCCCTCACATACACTTCAGTCCTCTCTCACAATCTTCACTACCAATTAATAAACCAAATTATCTATTGATTTACTTAGTTCTGAAATCTTATTCATTTTAGCGTTAGAATTTTCTCCTTATTATTCTCCACACTGCAAATAGCTGACCTCCAGACCGCTTATGTGATAGCTGTTGGTACCCAGAAACCCTATTTCCCCGAAACAAAACATTTTCATTCAAATCCCGAGACATAAAAAACTCACAAACAACTGCCTCGAATTAGACAGTCGATTGGCTAGAACCACATTCATTGGACCTGGAACCGTACCGAAAGGACAAGAATTGAGCACAAAGAAATCAATCGGTTTATACCAGCTCGTGAAAAAGATATTGGATATTGAACATTAGACTTTGAGGGAAATCAGTTATCCGATACATTTCCGATGATAAGTTTGGAACCACAAGTACTACCATTTCTATGGTCTAATAACTGATGTAGCTATACTTTTCAGTTTGCATATTTCAGGGAAAAATTGGACTAGTCCTTTGGAACACTTGTACACACGTCTTGCAATATATCCCAGATTCACCATTTAGTGAAGAAGATAAATGTTTAAAACAAAGTAATGTATGATGTTTATATCTTTTAGTTTTCTCCGGCAATAATCAAGCTGTCATGCTGATCACAGAATCTAACATGAAAATCATGTCTTCATTCTTGGGTAAAGAAAAATTACATCTCTCATAAATATCGGGTACAGAAAAATTTAATGTCTCTTCAGAAATAAATACCGAAATAGTTCCACAGCCCTACTTCAGTAACCTTGAAGTTAGCATCTGATCAGCTTTCAGACGAACAGTTTTTGATGGATTCTAATCAAATGATCAGTATTTCTTTTATGCCAAGCACACTTGATGATCTTGGTAGAAGAACTTTTATAAAATCTCTATTCCCAGTTAATTCAACCCTAGTTGTAAGTCATTGAGGTCAAATTAAATTTGGAATAGCTCAAGGCATTGAGTGGCTTGTTGTACAAGCTGACCCGACAGGCAGACAATATACAAATCACATTCAACCAGAATATACTGAATATCGTTGACGTGCAACTGTTACAAAGGTAGTTAATATCCCTGCTTATAATGGATATACTTAGACAAGATATGCTATTCATAGAAAATTCGACTATCAAGTATCTGCAAATTATTGAATTCCATGAAACGTACAAAGTGAACAGAGGAATACTTCCTTCTGAGACAAATCTCAGCCCGACATTATTCAGTAAGTTGGGACCTAAATAGTGTTAGAAGTCATAAACCACTGTGTGACTACTCAGGGTACTTTAGAACTACAGAAATGGATGTGTTCACCTGTAAGCAGTCATGAGCAAATCACACGAAGATTGGATGCAGTGGAATTTTTCCTTGGAGGAACGGGGGCACAGTTACTGTTACAAATAAGAAAACTCCTCAAGAAGGTTGGAAATATACAGGTATCATAACACTTGTCATGACTTTTATGATTTGGGTTATTGACGTCTTTGGTTTCGGTGAGTACATTTGTAATAAAATATTTTTAGTCATTTCAAAGCATAAACTAAGTGCGACGTTTCAGCAGTATTTTATGAGTTCTGTACCTACTAGCGTTTTGGTATATGCGCATCCAAAAGTATAAATTTTTCAAGATTTTAATAAAATTTGCGCGAAGGGTGTTACAAATGTATAGAACCTTTGCATACGTTCAAATTTTTTCAAGAGGGAAACGTTGGACCACTTACTAGTTCTAGGACTTAGTTACTATCTATTGGACCGAATCATTGGATTCTACTCCGCCCACATTGGTCCGACAGTATGACAGAAAGGTTGACAGAGAGTGGAAACATATGTGTAGAATGTACGCTCGTGAATGTATATTTAGGATTTTTTGATGAACTACTGGGATTATGGGTTGATAAGAGTGTGGTTATAATAGGAGTGGATCGTATATCTTGGCTTGATAAGATTGAGATGCCATCTTGACTGTGCACAATTCAAACACACATTTTGTACTGCAACTACGAATTGAGGATTCAAAGATAGTATGAAGTTAGAACATTCACAAAAAATTTATATCAAATTGCGAGTATATTTAGACTTATAGCCTAGCTTACGCTTCCATAACCAAATATCTTTTAACTATGCAACCCATAAAGAATTGATATTTATTTTCAGAAAATTATTCTCAGAATGCAAACATCCTCTGCTATACCAAGTGACTGGAAAGTGATGATACACGTAAGACAATAATTTTGAAAACTAATGATGAATAAAAGACTTTAGACGCAATAGAAGCTCTTATAGCTATGTGCACACCATACTATGAGAAAATATATCCTATTAAAGAGTTGCTTCGAACAAACTTCGACTCAAACATAATTGGAAGCGTTAAATCATGGCTAATTCATGTGATTGATATGGAGAAGACAGAAAAAGAGCAAAGATTTGTGGTTCGACGTGGAGTGGATACCACTTTAGACAAATGTAAGCGATGTCTCAGGTGCATTTAATCTAAATTTAGTGAGTAAATCTAAATTTCCCCTTATAGGACATTGAAACTTTTATATTGTAAATCAACACAAGACCTGGCGTTAGTTAGAAAAAATGACCTACAATAAGAATGTTATCAGAAAATATGAAATTGACAATCACCAAAACTTAAAGAGGTTAACTAAGATTGAAAGATTAATAATTTGTTGAACTGGATTTATTTTTTTCCTGGCATAATACAGCCTGACTTCCAGTAGATATAAATTGTGCCTATCAATCTCAGACTGTGAGCAATCATGGTAGTAGATTTTCTGAGCAAAACTATCAGTTAAAGCCTAAAATAAGTGAAACTTCAAAGTATCGATTATTAAGGATATAAAGATTATCTGCAACCTCAAATATTATATACAAACATTTAATCTGAAACTATCAGCTAACTGCGTTCCGATTCAGATAAATAAACGTGAATAACTACTGTGGTAGGTAATGAAGTGTTGGCAGTTAAAATAACTAGTGAATTAAAACAGAAACAGGCGTACTGGTGAATGTGTCGTGTTAATCGCATTGATGTAAGCAATACTTTTAAACATTCAGAGAAACTAAATCGAGTTAATAAATGCAATCTCTCTACATCAATTTTTAAAAGCTCATTCTCAGTGATGTATTTTGTTTGATGTTTAGGGAGTGAAACATATGCTTGCCTTCCAGACTTGTTGTCACAGTTAGCAGAAGACGAACTTTCAAAATTACGAGAAAATATACGGACATGTGGGTTAATTTACTTTCCTTTGGTAAGTATTTAGCCGGTTGTCAGCATATTTGCAACGAAAACAGAAATACTTCAAGCATAATATTTTTATTTATCTAGGTAGGTTATTTGTTAAAAATTCCAAAAGCTGAAGTAGAAACTCCCGATATACAGTTGAGTGGACTGGATTTCGCAGTAAGTTTTAAAATCTATGCTACTAACGTAACGCACGAAAATAATACGTTTTATTCGTTTTTTTTACCCTATGCTTTGTTTTCTTATGTAAGTCAGAATCTGATACGTACGTACACTTGTTCAAGGTGCTACACCATATTGGCGCAGAGTAGTAGATTTTATAGCAGTATCAGTAGTAATAGAAAATATTAGACATCGAAGATACGATTTCAGAAAACATCAGTCGAACAAATAAATTTAGAAATGAAAAATTTGGAGTTTGACAGGAAACAAAGAAGATATGAACCTGTGCTATTCCGAATGATTTAAAGCAATGTCATTCAAAATCTCTGACAAATGGTAACGATGACTGTGGACTCAAACTAGGTAGTCTATATCAACTAACGCGTCTCACCTGAATGTGCAGGGATTTCATGAACTGATATGGTCTGACCACCAAATACTTCTTTCCAACCTACTACACCAGACTTCATTCGTCGAGCATAAGTAACACATAACGACAACCCCAGTTGACGGAGACTCACCACTTCATCCATCGGTCTGCCATTCTTACCTAGTAGCCTTCTCCGAAATTGCTTACTTAATGGTTTCAGGATATACGAACAATACTTAGAATGCTCGAATACTGGTAAAACCCTAGTATCTTTTACTCTTGGTGGCCATTTTGCGAACTCGTTTAGTAGGATGGATCGAACTGCAGCACAGTAGACTCGTGTTTTGATCAGCAGAATACTTCGCCTACACCATTAGCGACGCAACTTTTCAAAAGCCAATCAGGCCTTCTGTGCCCGTGCCGAGATTTGTCACACACCAGACCGGGACTGATGAGACTCCCAAAAAAAGTGAAGCGATCAACACGTCTAACTACTTCACACTCTATCAATAGTTCCGGTGTTGACGCAATCCAATCCTGAAGTAACATTTTTCATTTATAGTAAAGGATTGCATCGCGAACATACTTGCACTTATGATTAATGCGGTCAGAAGACTTTGCATCTTGTTAGCGACTTCACCAAAGAGAATTAAATCAAACCCTAAAAATGCAGACGATGTGTGTTTTCTCCAAAAGCATGTCGATGACAAAGCTAAATAAAAATGGGAGGGCGAACAACACTGACGAAAACAGAAATCGATTTCGGAGACAGTTCGCCATAATCTCTGACTCAACTAATGGTGTCCAAGTAAGGGGCCTGCAGAATGTTGGCGTACTTCCGTACTACACCTTTGAATGACAGACTACCGCAGAACCTCACCACCAACAAAGTTCAGCGCCACCCTAAAACTAAGGAATACACGTACTTTTGGACGTCGAAAATTGTCTACATCTTAGAACCGGGTGAAGGGTGAATATTTAGTATATACACCAACATTTATAGTACTTTAGACCCTCTATTAGTTAAACTGATTTCTCCGTAATAATTGCAGAACTTCCTTCTTTCTTATAGACTGTGACCATCAGCGGTCGAGACCAGTCAGGCGCGACAGTGTTTGGTTCCTAGTTAGGATCTCGGTTAATTTTACTGCTAAAACAGACACACCGTCCTTAAAAATCTCGTGAATTCATTCACCGGACCCTGCTGCTTCCTCATTTTAGATTGTCTCTAACGTTCTCAACCTCTTAAGGATATGGAGGACTTTTGCATTCAGGTTGCTAGAAGATAATGCATGACTGAGGTTGTGTAGCACAAGATAGGGACTTAAATGCTAAATGGATCAAAGTTCATAACATCAGTAATCAACTAACAAGATGATTGCATTAAAGTTTCATTTACATGAATGACCGCTCAAACTCCGTATTCTATCCTCAAATCATCAGATGCAGAAACAATTGCGGGACATTATGAAAAGCACTAGTAGGACGTTGAAGAATTAGGAGTACAACTCATAGTAACTAGTGCGAAAAAGACTTACGACAAGGAAATCCACAATATGCACAGTAAAACTGTTTAAACGTAAATCGCAAGGCTTAACGAATATGAGATTCCTGTGTATCTGTTAAAGTAGCGATAACTTTATCTGTTCTGATTAGTTTACAGATAACGAGATGGCATACTACCGAAACGAAACTACACGCAGTAATTCTCTCATTTTATCGAGCTAACCTTCTGATATTTCAGTTCTGGATCAGCGTTACGGTGATGTGATGTATGCCATTGTTGGTAAGTACAATGAGAAGTTACAGTTTAAGTACGACTTAATATATTTAAACCTCAGGATGGAAAGAAAAACTACGAAGTTGTGACGTGCTTTCTGTTGCGATGTTTTTGTTTACGAACATCCAAGAATGAACTTAATGACAATTCATAACCCAACTTTTTATCGTAGACAAGTCGTCTTACAGTTGGAAGTTCCAGCAAGGAGTACTTGCGTGATAATTTAACAGCTAGTTTTAGCACACACCTAGACATAACGTATTGTGTTTCTTTCTGATCTTAAAAAGGCAACCCAACCTGTAGTTTAAAATTGACACAATGGATGGGGTGTCTAAGGACACTTAGGCTATAGATACAGTTTAGAGATGTTGAGCAAACAATACCTCCAAGATTACATTTTTCAGAAACACCTGAAGCACTTCCCAACACTGCTGCAACTAAGTTTTTTGAATTAAGGCTAGTAACAGGCCGTGGCTTAAAATACGGTCTACAATCATCGACGTTTGAACGTTATGGATTTGACCAGCCTCTCTTGACCTCAGCAATTCAGGCTTCCAGTGCTGTAAGCTTAATTCGTGACATTAAAAAGTACATCCCTCCAAAATTGTCCGCACAGATGAGGTGATATAATCTTACACAACGCCGAATTGAGGCTCACTCTGGTCAGCTCGGCTGACTGACCTACGTTGTCAGTTGAAACATAACATATCGTAGCTGAGAAGCCTATGATCTGTACCCATAACACAGCGAGCGATGCCAAAGACGACCTCGGAAACTGTGTAAAAAGCAGCTCATCACGCTGAAAGTGCCTCCTTCTAATACGGTAGTGACCTAATTGTGATACTAAAAGACTGACAACTTGGCGAACTGGAATAGATGAAAACATACTCATCTAAAGGACCGATACTAAGTGGTTGTAGGAAATAATTGCAGGCGACCATTATTGGGACGTTTAAATCCGTCGGCTAACAACTCAAGCTAAATCGTATACGAAAAAGGGAGTGCAGATTACATCATGATGATGAAGTAGTGAGTGTAGTTGAACCACAGTCTCATATTGAAAATTTACTTATCTGCTTTCCTAAATCGACTCACTTAACCAAAAACTGAGGATGTAATCATTCAAGATTTGGAAAAATAAAAAACGCCACAAACATAAATATTTACGTTGTCTACTACTACTTAAGTGAACCTTTAGTCAACCCTACTTACAAAATTTTTAGATGCTGAAACTACAATCATGCATCATCTTCAAGACCGCATACTAGTCTACACACGGAATATATTACAGGGGTCCCAACTTGCTGCGGAAATAGATTGGTAAGTTGCTGATTGAATAGTACACACAAAACAGATACGTAATTAACCTCATAAGACTTTATGTCGACATAAAACTTCAAGAATATGCATAGAATCAGGCATTATAATGTCACCAACTTTTCAGCTGAGTAACCAACCGGTATAGAAAAGGTAGTTAAGTCCAGAAAAATAACCAGAAGCATCTAAAACTACGTTAGGGAACTTTTTTTAGATAGCAGTAACTATTTAAGTGGTTTATATTTTGACGAATCATACTATAATGCACGTCTATTAATGTATATCTATATTAGCTGATACATGTACGTACTTTGGCTGGTAAAGATCTGAACTGGTTGAGCATATTAAGTTTACGGTAATAAGCAAAAGACTGAAACAGCTGTAAGTTGGGATACTAATAAATATTCACTAGAAATACTTATTCAACTAGCGAGGCTTATATTGTTTAAACAACTAACTAAATTAACGAGGTTGTTTCTCTGTACTTAGAGTTGTATTAACAACTGTATAATATTGTTCCAGTTTATGCGCTTTTGCCATGGCTGCCAAACATATGGAATGGACTCGACCGAAGTTAGCGGCTGAAAACTGCATACATATCCATAAAGGACGACACCCTATCCAGCAAACAGTATCTACAAACATAATCAAAAACTCATTCTACTCAGATGCATCCAAGCGTAAGATAACACTGTTGACTGGACCGAATGGAAGTGGAAAAAGTATTTACATGAAAAAGGTAAGTACATTTACGAGACTGTTGACTTCCACTACATTACTGAAGCGTAACCCGACCGTAGCTGCTACCTTGACGTGGTGGTCCGTCTTGACTATCGTGATGACCCAGCCGAGCTATACTGGCTGCAATATACGTTCATGAAGGTTCTACCATGCCAAGCAGGTCGATTGGAGAACGACGAGACTAAAAGCAACCACTCAAGGTCTGAGGGCGAAGTCGTACTGCTGACTTCAGAGAGGTGTGACAGCAGTAAGGTGTTCCCCTCGGACAACCAGCATCTGCAGCGATGCTGCCTTCTCACAAGGAAGGAAGGGTTAGAAAAGGTCGACCCTAAAAATGTCACACCTCACCCTACCTCACGGATTTCCGTCTCCGGCGGTAAGGGTGCCCACTAAGGGCCTTTAAGAACGGAGCTAATCCTCAAAATACCTTTCATAAAAAGGCCGTGCGTGACCGGCCTCAAGCAGTTGTCCCTTGGACTCTACGGTCACGCACCCAGGTCTCCAAGACCAACACTAATCTATCTTCCTTTTCAGGTCCCTCAAGAAACAACCTCCCACGGAGTGGGCAGCCGGGAAGTGACAACCGCCCCCATACCCGTAACAGCACGAGAGACCAATCTGGTCGAAATCAAATCCTTCCTACACCCACACATACCTCTCTTCTCTCTACAACTAACTCTACTCTCACGGATGTCCACTCTCTCCATTCTTGTTTAATTTTATCATAGACATTCTTCTAGAAATAACCTTATCCTCGTCTGAATTTTCAGGAGTAGACCTTTTACCAGGTGGCTCGCTTATTGACTTAGAATATGCCGATGACATAGTCCTACTTGATGAAGACGCTGACAAAATGCAGTCTTTTGACCACCCTAAGCAACAATGCAAGCATGTTCGGGATGCGGTTTTCCCCCTCGAAATGCAAAATGTTGCTTCAAGACTGGGTTGCATCGGCACCTGAACCAGTGATAGGGAGTGAAGTAATCGAACGTGTAGACCGCTTCACTTATCTTGGGAGTCTCATCAGTGCTGATGGCCTGGTGACTGCGAAATCTCAGCTCGGATACAGAAAGCTCGACTGGCTTTTGCCAACCTGCGTCACTTATGGCGAAGGCGAGATATCCGTTTGCTGACTAAAGGACGAGTGTACTGTGCAGTGGTTCGCTCCGTCTTACTTTATGGCTGTGAAACATGGCCAGTCAGACTAGAAGATATTCGTAGGTTACTGGTTTTCCATCATAGGTGTCTTCGAAGCATTGCTCGTATATCGTGAGACACAAGAATGAGCAACGCTGTTATTATGAAACGGGTGCTAGGTAAGAACGGCAGATCAATCGACGAAGTGGTGAAACTTCATCAGTTGAGGTGGTTGGGACATCTGTTGCATATGCATAACCACAGACTGTCTTCACGAGCTTTGTTTTGTAGTGTAGGAGTAGGTTGGAAGAAAGTTAGGGGCGGCCAAACCAAAACATGGCACAAACCTATGAAGTCATTGACGAGTGGACTTAGCCATGTCGGTAATTGTCGACTACCTGGTTGGGGTCCGCGAGATGATAATAATCGATGGCTAGAGACCCTGAATGACATGGCTCAAAATCGTTCGCAGTGGAGCCGGTGCATTTATGCTTTGTGTTCTCTCAAATCCTAATCTTCTGGGTTCTCCAACAACTCTGGTTTTGACTTTCTAAACTTTTCTCACTATATCATACTTCTTTAATAATATCTTCTAATCCCTACCTCTCCGATTGCTTCTAATACCTTTACTACCTCTTCTACTATCGGATTTGAATTGACAATTACATCTCTGTGCTGATGTGGTATGGCGACATGAACTGATGTACTTACGTACGAAGTTCTACGTTGCATCTTACTAACTGAAGCGTAAAGTAACTAGACGATAATAATAGCAAATCAGATTGCCAGCTAACTTATTATAGACATATTTTCCATTACAAGCATCTAGTATAGGTAGAAAAGAACTAACACTCGTGCAACGAAAGGTACCGATTCCGAAAGGAGTGTGCCAAAATTATTTGTAAGGTTGCAGTGCCAACAATGTGGACCATCCAGCTGATCATCCGAAAAAGCAACTTAAATCACAATGGATAAGCAAACAGAACTCTTACAAGGGAGCAATAGTTGGCTGACTGTCTTAGTATTCCTATAAGTAATCATTGGTATTATTTGGTGCCTACTCGGGTAACTTACTGTTATCCAACCAAACTCACTTAAGTAATATACCCTGAAGATCTCCATTTTCCGATGATTATAATTTTACGGAATCTTTACCAAGATGTGACATGTGATTATAGAAATTGACTGATGTAGCTTATCCTTTAACTTTCCACACTTCGAACAGTTGCTACGACGATAACCCAGACTGAATCTTAGACCGAAACTCCTCCAACTCCCATAACGCTAATGCAAAGGTAGCTGAATACATATTGTTATATCAAATGAGATTTATTGCATGATAAAGTTAATTGTTGGATCGAAGTGTGATATAGGGTGGATGCTTATTTTTTGTATGTTATTACGAATCTAAGCATTAATTAACAAGGTAAAACATATCTCTGGTAAATATGAGCTCATAAATAAATATACTGAGCATCTTTAATTTACTCTTTATTCGTAGATCGCCTTAATAATTTACCTAACACATATCGGAAGCTATATTCCAGCTGAAGAAGCAACATTATCTACGTTTGATGCTATACACGTACTCACAGGCGCAAACTCTTCTGAGAGAGATAACTTTTCGAACTATATGACGGCTCTTCGAATGGCTTCAGTCTCCTTGAGAAACTTAACAAGTAAAACTTTGATAATAATGGACGAATTCGCAAATTCCGTCAATAAGGTAAATTAACTATTTTCATACCTTGCTACGAGAAAGCAAATTAGTCAGAATAAGTAGTGGTTGTGTAACTACGTATTTAGTAATTATTAAACCATATAACCGTCCAAACAGATACAGGTTGAGTTTGAGCCCGTTATATGGGCTCCGCAGTCACTCTCCCAGGTCTCTAAGATCAACACTAATCTAACTTCTTTTTTAGGTTCCTCAAGAAATACCCTCCCATGGTGTGAGCAGCCGGGAAGTGACACCTGCTCTCATACTCGTAACAACACACGAGACCAATCCAGTCTAGTTATATGCAGTGACACAAGCCTACACTACACGCACCAATCCCATTAGTTGAGAAAGTGGGCTTAGATATCAAGCAAACGTAATGCAAGGAAATCCAAATAAAATAGTACACATATATGATGGTGACACGTGACATGGACTCCCAGTTTTACGAAAGAATATAAACCAACCAATAAAACCATATGTAGAACGAGTCCACTTATCATGCTATGACTGTTACTAGATCCTTGAATTAAACGCGTCATGCTCTTACAACCACCGACTGACTAAATTTTGGTCTTTTTAGGTGGAAATGGATGCGCTTACAGTTGCAATTGCAGAATTCCTGTTAAAGAAGGACGAATGTCCGTACACTATCATAGCTACCCACAACCATGAGATATTAAAGCAACTCCAAATGTATGGACCACAAGTGCAGTACATGGTAGGTTCTTAAGTTGTGCAGTATTCCGATGTTTTTAACATAAGACAATGAAGACAATCCTCCATGAAGGAAGAACGCTGTGTCTTTACGAGGCAATCAACGGTTTGAGCTTAAGTAGTGAAGCAATTAGTATAGCAAATGCAACCGGACTGCCAAAGAAAATAATTAAAAGAGCAATTGCTCTGAAGGATTCCTCGGCCATGATACCCACCACACGTATGAAGACCAGAAATAAGAGGTAATTCTTCGCTTAATTCAACTTATTTTGTAGAGTGAAAGCAGTACTGAAGCTACTTCACGGAACAGGTAGCAACGAAATAATGCTAGACCAAGTTTTCAACTCTAATCTTAATGAACTCTTAGAAAGTTTGGATTAGTGAGTAAGTGAAGGTTGGGAACCAGACAAATAAAGATGGTATTTTAAGACGAAAATTTTTTTTTAATTGCTCTGCTATCGATTCTTGGGACAATATGAAAATAAATCTTTAAAACCTAGACGGAGCAAGAAAAATCTGTAATACTACCGACGACCAACATGTGTATCCATTGTACAGAAAACAAATATTCACAAAAATATAAATGATAATCATAGTCAGGGGGAATATTGTACAGGGGTAGTGAGTAATTTTAGCTATGAAAAGAGAGAATAAAAGGATGCTCTAATGCTCTTGAACAGGTTATTCGTTCTGACGGAATGTACACCAACATTTCTTTAACAAGATCGAATGCCAGGCGCTTGTAAAGGTCGGAATTAGAAAACCAGTAGTCACCGAGAGGTTTCAAAACTCTCCTAACATAACGAGATTCTGAAGAATCAGGAGACCAATATAACCGACCATGGCGAAAATATCGTCGTCGACGGGATACTTTTGTCATACACTTAGGAAGCGTCCCTAGTAAACGTTCCATCATCGCTAGGTGTTCAAGATTATCATGTGTCATGAATAAGCATTGTCCAGTCACCAATTCATACAAAATACATCCTATAGACCATACGTCGGCAGATCGATTCCATCCAAGCTCCATAACAACTTCAGGAGCACGGTAGTGTCTTGTTTGTATGGTAGTCGAGTGGTGATCTTCGTCGAATGTGGCTGACCCGAAGTCTATAAGTTTTATAGATGGATTACGGATTCGCCGTACTGGCCTGCCACGATGATTAACATAGACTTCGTCGTATGCGCCATCAACAAACAAAATATTCTCAGGTTTTAAATCTGTGTGTGTGAGCTTATTTCGGTGCAAAAAGGCAACGGCCTCACATAACTGTCGTATAATTATTGCACATTGTTCAATGGTGTAGGGTTCATAGTCATTTTTTTCGAGAAACGTGAAAACACTTGGACCAAGTAGGGGGAATACAATATAGAAGTGTTCATGCCATTCAAAAAAATCTATAAATGATATGCAATGGGATCGATCTTTGGAATCTAATCTTGCAATCGTTTCTAGAACATTAACCTCATGACGCGCAGCATCACTATAATCACTTTGGGGTTTTAGAGCCTTGACGGCAGTCAACGAATTTGTGTACAAGTCAAAACATTCAAAAACTTGCCCATAGCTACCCTCTCCTAGTATCTTCTCCACTCGAAAGCGTCGCTTGATAATGTCACCGACTGGTACAATGGCAGATGGCTTGCGTTTGTGATGTTCGTGACTAGCCTTCCTTCGTGCCTTTTCGTCGCGACGCCTTTCTTCTCTCTTCCGACGTGCTATTTGCTTGTCATCTCTTTCGTGGAGTTTCAGAGAACCAGGAAATCGCCCATTACGTAAGTGAACACGTATTGAATGCCCATCATGGATTTCGATACTTGGACTACGCTGCCGTTCTCGCTTAGTTGGGTGAGACGGAGGTTTGGTAGCATGACTAGGAACGATGCCACTGCGGGAGGAACTGTCAGAACGGTCTCGAGGATGGCCCTTATCACCAGATATACGTACTGCCTTACAGGTGCTCGTTGTGTGATTGAAATTAGGAAGTGATACATGGGAACTATGATTCCGCCTGAACCAACGGGGATAAAAACAATCACAGACTCAGTGACACGAAAGAAATAAAAACAAGACTATTCAAAAATCAAAATTTTATATGTGTACCTTTTACTATGTTCTGAAACACGACATCTTTTAGGGTCTGAACAACCGTAACCAGAAGATCCTTTTTCGGACGAGCTGGATCGTTTTCGATGACCAGCTGATGAAGAAGAAGTGGAGCAAACTGAATCTGATATACACACAGTCTCTTTGTTTCGAAATAGGGAATTGAAACAACAACGGTGATTGCTTTTGGAGCGCCAGTCCCTGTTATTACAGTCTTCGGTCCTTAAAACCATCATCGAATAAGGCGCACTTCCACTTGCAGCCAACAATATGGGTACCAAACTAATTCAAACAAACTGATTGGAATCTCAAAGAATAAAACTAGAAAAAAGTTACCATTATGCAAAGAAATATTGTTGATTCTGATTAATCCAAAGATATAAGTCTCTAAAAACGTGAATGAGGGAATTTCGTGATCAATAGACTTTTTAACACGATATGGACTATGTGTGGCGATAAAAAAGTCCCATAAATCAATAGTTCTGAATGTCTTTAACATCGGTGCTGATATAATTAGTTTACCGGACATACCATAGATAAAGGCTCTCAGTTGCACATCCGCACAAGACCAGTGTGCGTTCGTCCATGAGAAAGGGTACCAAATCGCGGACTAATGAATGCTCTATAGATCCGACACGAAATTACAGAGCCCTGTCATGCGATCATGAGATTTCTAAATCTTTCACAAGCTCGCACGCTATTAGGGACTCCCCGAGGAAGCACATCTCGAAAACGTTTGGTTCGAGATAGTGATCCCATAATATCCATCTATAATCTTCCCAAATGTATGGGAAACTCTAGGAATTCCCTAACCCAAAATATGCTATCTGAATAAGGGTCTCAACATAGACATAACTTGGTCCGATGCACACAGACCAGAGCACATTAGAACTTTAAGGGGCTATTACACGGTAGTGTGCAGTAGAGTTATTATTTTGTATACCAATCGAAACGCGTCATCATGGAGCATAGTAGAACAATGTATTAAATAGAATCCACCACTGGAGACCACGTTCCTCAACCATGAGAAAGCAATTGACAGCGTGGATTAACCAATATCATGTAGGCTTGCTCGATACTACCGTGTACATGAGAACATGGTCAACATCGTACGGAATTCTTACGATGGAATAAACTGCAAAACAGTGCATGGAGGACAGCGCACAAACTCGTTCCAAGAAAAGTTGCTTACTCTCACCCTTTCGCCTGGTGACCGACTGGATCATGAAGACGTGAACATGTGAAGGGACGCAAGGGATACAATGAAAAGCTCGAACAATCTGTAGTTAGCAGATGATCCATCCCTCCTATCGCATACTGTAGACAAGCTGTGAGTGGTCCTGTACTGTGCTGCTAAGTTTGCTGGAACCTCTTTAAACGATTTGATCTATCAAGGGCCGGACAGCACCGCTGATCCGGTAAGCATATTATTGCGTTTTCGCAAGGAAGCAGTAGCAGTATCGGCAGATGTTGAGGAGATGTTTACGCAAGTGAAGGTACCCGAGGGTGACCGGGGAGCGTTAAGATATCTATGGTGGGAAGGTGGGAATACATCTAAAGAACCTTCTGAATTTCAAATGACCTCTCATCCATTTGGAGCTACGTCATCCCCGTTTTGTGCGAACTTTTCTATGAATAAAACAGCCCTAAGCTTCTCGAGTGATTATGAGCATTATGTTGTGGATGCGGTTAAGAACAACTTTTACGTTGATGACTGTCTGATATCTTTTTCGAGTTGAGATTTGTCATGCAGATAAGCGAGTTGTTACGTAGAGGTGGATTTAATTTAAAAATGTGGGTTACCAACTCAGAAGAAGTGAGGTCTATATTACCGGATATAGGTATCAAGGAATCATTGTTAGGAATATCAGCGGATTGTACCGTTACTCACCGAACGCTTGGTATAGAATGGGATGTCGAACAAGACGTATTCAAGTTCCACTTTGATGCACCAAATAAACCAGTGACAAGGAGAGGAATCTTATCTGTTGTTTCGCCGCTGTTCGATCCTTTGGGTCTGATCGCTCCAGTGTGTCTCACAGCTAAACTACTTCTGCAAGGTTTATGTAAGTCCCAAATAGGATGGGATCAACCTCTCGACGAACCATACGTGTCCACGTGGTTAGATTGGTTAAGTTTCATGCGTCAGATGGGTCATGTCACAGTTGCCCGAGGTATCAAGAATAGAATCGACGAAACTGACGCGAAGGTGGAGTTGCACTTATTCAGTGATGCCTCAGAGATTGGTTACGGGGCGGTTGCTTACGCTCGGGTAAGCTATACGAAGGCACAACCTTACTGTGTCCTGTTATACAGCAAGTCTAGGGTAGCACCTATCAAACAAGTCACGATACCGAGATTAGAAATGGCGGCAGCAGTTTTAAGTGTAAGGTTGAGCGAGGTTATACGGAAAAGTCTGCCCAACTTCTTCTGTGGAGTGAGTTTTCATACGGATTCCATGATAGTATTATACTATATTAAGAATACTGAAAAGCGGTACACCAGCTATATAGCTAACCGTCTTGCTGTCGTTCACCAGTATACCAGTGTTGAGCAATGGAGTTATGTAAGCTCGTCACAGAATCCGGCCGATTGGACTTCGAGAGGCATACAAAAGATGAATGATCTAGAGACCTGGTTTAAATGTCCTACACTGCTGTACAGTGACTCAAGTACCACCACTTACTACCCAGAACCTACTATGGACCAAGTCGAGTTCAGAAAAGCTACGGTCAATTTGAGTAGCACGGCAAACTCTCCGTCACATATCTTGTCTTATTACTCGGAATGGATGAAATTGGTTAGGGCTGTAGCGTGGCTCAGAAGGTTCATAGACCTTTGGATAGTACTTCACTCGCCGAGAATTGGAGGCTCTGTTACGTCAGGTTACTTAAAGGTCAAGGAGCTTGAGTCAGCCAAACGGAAGGTCCTAATGATTGTTCAAAAGGAGGTATACGGAGAATTACTTAACGAATCCAACGTTAGTCGTAAAGAAGTGAGTAATAAACGTCTGAGAGGTTCAGCACCGATAATGATTGATGGGTTACTATGCGTCGGAGGCCGCCTAATGTACTCCGAACTCCCGAGTGCGTCGAAACATCCCGTAATTTTGCCTAGTCGACATTGGGTAACCGAATTGATAATCAGACACTATCACAAGGAAGAAGGACATATGGGAACTTCGCATGTGTTAGCTGCGATCCGCAAGTACTATTAGATAGTTAAGGGCACCAGCACGGTTAAAAGAGTAATAGGAAAGTGTGAAACTTGCCGACGGTTTACTTTGTGTCCAGGGAATCAATAGATAGCGCCACTTCCAGTTTATAGAGTGCAAAAAGGTTGGTATAGTTTCTCGACGACAGGAGTAGACTGCTTTGGACCTCTTCTAGTCAAGAGGGGTAGGTCACTAGAAAAAAGATATGGTTGTGTGTTTACCTGCCTGCAGACACGAGCAGTACATATTGAGATGGCATACAGTCTGAATACTGATTCATTTATAATGGCTTTGATAAGTTTTATTGGAAGAAGAGGGAGACCGACGGACGTATTTAGTGACAATGGATCAAACTTCGTGGGGGGCAGTCACTGAACTAAAGAGCTTCGTGCAACAGTGGAATCATCAGAAAATTAGTAAGGAATTATCATCAAGACAAGTTCAATGGCATTTCAACCCTCCACTAGCCAGCCATAGAGGTGGAGTTTGGGAACGAATGATTAGATCAATACGAAGGCTGCTATTATTGATCACCAGGGAACAGGTGTTAACAGACGAAACCTTGGGCACATATCTGATTGAAATTGAGAGAATTCTAAACGACCGACCCCTAACCCCGGTAGTCCAGGATGCTACCGACCGACTAGCTCTATCACCAAATAGCCCACTGTTATTGGGAGAATGTGACGGAATAGCTGAGGAAAGAAGTATTAGTGACAAGTTCCACAAACGTTGGAAGCAGGTAAATTATTTAGCCAATGTATTTTGGAAAAGGTGGTTAAAAGAGTATGTGCCTTCCTTACAAACTCGTCAAAAATGGCTAAAAGAGCATTGCAATTTTCAGAAAGGAGACGTAGTTATTGTTACCTCGGATATTACCACTCGTGGAAAATGGCCCTTAGGAATAGTAGAGGATTGTGAGACAGATAAGGACGGAAAGGTCAGAACGGTAATTGTTCGTACTACTAACGGGGTAGCGAGAAGAGACATACGAAAGGTGTGTCTCCTAGGAAGGTCCAACTAGATAGGTTATATCCATATTGAAAACGGGTAGGCGTACTGCTGTAAGTCCTATTCGTTATTTCGGTGTGGGTTAGGGAATGAGAGGGAACCCTAACTTGAAGTGTCAGTAAACGCTTACTTTTTTTGCATGGAGGGATTTTGCGGGCCGGTGTAGAATCCTTTTTGAATGTTTTGTTTTTTGGAAAATCCCTCCATGTTTATATATTTTTGTTATGATATGACTGACTCTTTCTGTTGACATTTTGGTACTCTATTTGATTCCATTTTGAGATTTTATCACTGTATATTGTTATTATTTCTATATTTTGTACTTATATTGAAGTTTTTATGTTTGCTTCTGAACTGTACACATGTTGTTTAAATTTGATATATAATATGGCTACAGCCATATTTTGGATTTGATATCGTCGCAGTATACTAGCTTCACCCAGTCTTTTGAACTCGGATACTCATCAGAGTAATTTTGACTTGGAAGACGTACTAATTGTCAGGTAAACGTTTGTATTTCCATTTCTTTTATATAAATAGACCACTTTCTCATAGAATTATTGTGTTTTGGTATTCGACTAAGGGAAGGTGCGTTCGACATACGTCTATTGGAATCGAATTGAACTGCTACGGTAGAAAATTCAACTACACATACACACCAACAAATGCCGGAGATGACGGCCAGCGTAGCAGCAGCAACCTCTGCAGCAGTAGATCTCAACATACACAAGCGTAAAGCAAGATCATCTAGCACAACACAACATAAACCAAACAAGTCACAGTCGACGGAGCGGATTCGGAACATGTGTAAACTTCTACCCATCTGGGCAGCATCATTGATTAACAAAGTGGATCTGATGCAGATGTGAAGACACGAATAGGAAAAGCAGGTACAGCATTTCTACCATCGAAGAACACCTGCGACTGGAAACAACTGTCAATTAACATCTGAGGCACAATTTCAATACGAACATCAAAACGGCTACATTGTGTGGGACGAAAACTCGAAGAACGACGATAGCCATCATGTAGAAAATACAAG